TAGCCGTGTGTCCGCCTCCCCCTCTAGCCGTGTCCCCTCTAGCCGTGTGTCCGCCTCCCCCTCTAGCCGTGTGTCCGCCCTCCCCTCTAGCGTGTGTCCGCCCTCCCTACCCCCTCCCTATCCCCCCCTACCTCCTCCCCCGGTGTTGTAGACGGCGGGTATTGTTTTGGCTTTCATGACGTCTATCTGTTACAACCGTTACTGGGAGGCGTTATCGGCGTTATGCCAGATGGGTCAGGCATTGTTGAACGTAGTATCTCTGGCATTTTCGTATGAACGGACGGAGCGGGAAATGGACGGGTTGACGGGTACGGAATGGAAGGCACAGGTAGTGCACACGGCAAGTTTACTACATGCGACGTGTATAGCAAGTTTGAAATGTGAGGCTACAATAGTGGGTAAGCCGTTGGATGTATTTGGTGGTATGACCGAGACAGAAATGCGTGAATTAAATTCGGTGGATGATCAGAGTGCTCTGGTGTTATATTGGCTACAGGACTTACTAGCATCTCGATTAGCGAGTGGTGGATTGGATATACGGAATCCTCCGGTGGTGGCCCAGGTTTGGACGAGTTTAGTGAACTACGTAAACGCATATGCGATTGCTAAAAAGATTGCGCAGTTCCCGCTACCATTACCGTTGCATCAATCGTTAGCATTCAGCGACATTTTTGTAGCATTCCTATCTCCGTTTGTCATCTCCGCATTTGTACCTAGCATTACTGTTTGTCTTTTAATAGTGTTTGCTACAAGTGCTGCTTACCATGGAATATTTATTGTCAACGCCGCGTTACAGCAACCCTTCGGCACCAAGTCATGTCACCTGCCACTCGCCATGCTACATCGACAGGTTATCAAAGGCATGTTGTCGCTCGTCACGCAAAAGGTGGCCGAGAAAATTGTTAAACTTGGCGAAGACGAACATGAAGCTGCAGCATCCGAAGAACCCAGTGACTTCGTATTCCCTGCCGTAGATCGACATTATATCTATGAAGCTATGCACAAAAGGAAACCACACAAATTCACCCACTCCGGCTCCGGTGTACTCACACAGGTCTCCATGTTCAGCCATACCGATCCACACACCACTAAACATCACACACCTGGCGTCCTTACACTCAACCATTGTGTAGCCACCGGCTTCTCTCCTATACCAACTGATCTAGTACCACTACCTAGCATCAAACATCCTGCTTTCAACAAACTTCCAAGCCAACCAAAATCCGACAAAAACCTATACTCCAGAACAGAACTAAACAAAACCGAAACTGAAGCAGAAGTGGAAGCCACAAACACCCAACAGAAAGTTTGACTTGACTACCCATACCTACCATTTACCCATACCTACCATTTACCCATACCTACCATGTATCTATACGTACCATTTATTCATACCTATTATGTCCTCAAGTATTCGACTTATGCACACTTACTACCATGCCAATGAGTTAATAGCCCCAGTGTTTAGTTAGCAGTGTCTATTAGTCAAAAACGACGTTATTCAGAGTTATATCGCTAGGTAGATCAGGTCTGTTGTCAGCGATTAACTACAGGTCTCAATGATCGGTGTGTAGATGGTGGAGATGGTTGAGATCCTGTCCGGTCGTAATTATTTTTCACATTAGTTAGCACACACTCTGTGCACTTGTTTGGTTTGTAGAGCTTTAGTATGGCGTCAGTATGGCTCATTCCTCCCTGACAGTGATGCCGGTCTGAGGGGGTGGGGGTCCCTGGCCATTAGGACGGGGGAAGGCCCCTTGTGGCATCATGCCTTGTGGCATCATGCCTTGTGGCATCATGCCGGGTGGCATCATGCCTTGTGGAAGCATGCCAGCAGGTACTTCGCCGTTCGCCTGCATTCTTTGGAGTTGCTCGAGAAGGGCCTGGAGTTCCTCTGGGCGAGGTCCGGACTCTCGGGGGCCTTGTTCCTGGTCGTCTTCCCATTTGTGAGCTATCTTTGCCTGGTACCTATCCCAGCCAGGGAGTTCTTCGGCAGGAAGAAGTTCCCAGCCACTTCCACCAGCTTTAAGGATGAGGTAATAAGAGTAGTAGAGATCGGCAATGGCGTAAGTGACGTAAAGATTGAAGATGAGTTTGGCGGCATATTGATACCAGAAACTGCTAGGCCAAGTAAGCTCACCGAAGACGAGAGCCTGGAACTCACGTTGGCCGCGAATGCCGGGGACGAAGTCGAGCAAGAAGCGCTTTTGGTAGCAGTAGAGCAGTCCGAGATGGGTGGTGAACCAGACGCCACCATACACGAGTGTAGAGAAGTACAAAAGTTTGGCAAAGACCGAGAACGCGCAGAGCATCACGCATAACGTGAAGAAACCGGCCACGGACATAACGATCATTTCCAGACTATACAGCTGTCCCATCCATGGTACCAAGGGGTAACCGCCAGATTCGGGGAACCGTTCTAGGAATTCCATCGACGGCTCCGCACCGAATATTGTACCCGTATCATGAATAGTCATCATCATCGGTAATCCACTAAAGATCATCGAACCCAAACCGAAGAACGCACTAAACACGTAGTACGCTCCCAAAAACGCTACGCATAACTTCACCGGTACCACCAGCCACTTTCCCGTTTGTCCGAACTCCGCCATTGCTCAACTACAAAGGTGCAATGACACACACTTTTACGCACACCGTCTAGACCCCCGCTTTCGAATCCCACCGACCCCGCTTTCGAATCCCACCGACCCCGCTTTCGAATCCCACCGACCCCGCTTTCGAATCCCACCGACCCCGCTTTCAAATCCCACCGACCCCACGTTCGAATCCCACCGACCCCACGTTCGAATCCAGAAATAGACCAGAGTCCTTCATGTAATCCTTCCCAGGACGGGCCCGCGACTGTTGGAATTATTATTATGGATTTCGATGGAGGTGATTTTGAGTGTGAAGATTATGACCCATTCCAGGAGGATGAGAACACCTTGGGGTTTGCGGAAGAGGGTACGGATGTATTGGCCGGTGGTCCCATGATAAGTTGTGGCAATGCGACGGCTGAGGCTTTATCTGTTGAACAGTATCAAGTACCTGCAGTTCGTGTGGTCAATTGCGTGGTGGCCTTTTACACAGGTTGCCAATTGGACTTGAGGTTGGTCACGGTTAGTACACGTAATGTCGAATACAATCCCCGCAAACTTAACGCTGCCGTCGTCCGATTCGTCGACCCACGTCTCACCGCTTCCGTCTTCCCCAACGGACGCGTAACTCTCGCCGGGCGCGCTTCTCTTCCCGCCATTAAAAAGACTGCGAAGACGCTAGCCAAACTACTACAAAAAAGCGGACACCCAGAAGTCACTTTCAACAACTTCAAAATCTGCACACTCGTCTGCACCGCCAAGTAACAAACACATGGTGATCATCCACGTGGTGATCATCCACGTGGTGATCATCCACCCCCCCAGATGGCCACCCCCACGTGGTGATCATCCACCCCCCCAGCTGGCCACCCCCACCGACAGCTCCCCCACCGACAGCTCCCTTACTTATTGTTCATTCCATTAGTTGTGGCTTTCCTGTCCGGCTCGAAAACATTGCTCAGGACCATGGCCCCTTCTGTTCATATGAGCCCGAAATCTTTTGCGGCCTGGTCTACCGATTTAACCCGCGACCAGAACTCAAGGCGACCGCTCTCATCTTCGTCTCTGGCCGCATGGTCATCTCCGGCTGCACTTCGCCTCGAGACGCAAACGAAGTGTTCCACTCCCTGTACGCAGTGCTCTACCGGTACCGGGCATAAAACCGACAGGCCCTGACTAACGGCGCCCTTCAGGACACACTCACTAGCTAGGTAAGGGCGCCGTCATCCAACACTGAATATATATGGTCAGAATATCGGCTCAGAACAACGGAACTATATATCTCCACGTAGAGGAGTTGACTACACGCCTCTCGTGTGCGCGCGGTCCTTTTTTTATCGCGCGCGATTCTTTGATGTGCAAACACTCTCCTGTAGTGTGTGTCCTCCCTGGTGGTGGTGCGCCAACATTCTACGTAGCCTTTTTTCTTTGGTACTTGGTTACGGTCCAGCGTCACGATCCAGCGTCACGCCGACTCCGCGAACTCGGCTTCCGGCGTCGAGTGTTGGCCGGCTTCGCGTCGTTTGCGAAAGGCGGGGAGTTTGGCGGAGGTCTTGGTCACGCTTCGTGAAGCCGTCTGTTGTGCCGCCGCCGCGCGTCGTCGTAGGAAGCGCGCGGCGCCGGTCAGGACGGCGTCGCCGCCGCGTCGCACGCGTGTGCATACATTTTTGCCGGCGCTGCCCGCGCGCTCCCCAATCAACCGAGCCAGACGCCTCGCAGTCCCGCGCACAGACTCCTTGCTCGGGCCTTCCGCACCCTCCAGAGAAAGCCGAACGGGACCAAACCAGTTCAGGTTGGACCCGTTAACGGCGGGTGCGCCGTCAACCAAAACGGCACCAGGAAAGGGCGGGGCACCGTGATACGTCGGGCCACCGTGACACGCGGCGTGATACGCGGGGACACCGTGATATAGGGGGGCACACTGAAAGGGCGGTCCGTGGAGATGCGGATCATGAACTAGTGCTCCGGAGCAGTCCGCGGACTGTTCCGGGTGCCCCTTGCCGGTTGCCCTGCCAGGAGCAAGGGTTGAGTAAAGTGCCGACCGCGTGAAGTACAAAGAGTTCTGTTTCCCTTTCAGCCCCTTCCAGCCGGAGTTCGGATCCTTCCAACCTGCGTTCGGGTCTCCGGCAGCCGGCTGCCGGGCGGCCGCCTCCAGAGCGCAGCTGCAGTCCGGATCAGCACACCCGCTGACCCAGCGAATCTGTTCGGCGCTGAACGGGCTAGGTTCCAGGGTATCCGCTCGGGACTGTTGCGCTAGTGGGTCGTAGACGGATTGCTCCATCTCTGTCTCAGCCGTGGTGGCGGCAGTAGGAAAGGTGGTTATGCGCGCCACGTCGAAGGTCAGGCTATCTTCTTCACTAACGATACTTACCTTCCTAATGCCCGCATTCGAACTGATGTGGTACGTCCGATCGCCGCTGTTGATTGTCACAGACATGTTCGGATCCAACTCGATTACCGAACAAGCGGTGAGCCAATGATTGCGAAAAATGCCGTCACGGGCGACACCTACCACCGGCAACGCTGTCATTGAGACGTCGACGACGCGATAGAGCTCGTTACGTCTCGTTACAAAAACCAAACGTTTTTGTGAGCATGTCCACGCGGCACAGTAGGAATGTCGGCACACAGTATTGCCACCGTTGACGAATCCTCGTGGGCGAAGGGGGGTCGACTGAGCTGACGGGGAAGGGTTAAACGGAGTGCGGAAGGGTTATTTTCCAGTAGGGTTTTTTTCAAAATTTTAGGTAAAGATTCATGGTGAAGATTCATGATGGTAAATACAGTCACACCGTGATGCAACCGCCCACCCGAAGCCTAGGAAGCGGGTGCTTCGGCAAGTGAGTGATCTTTTGTAAAAATCGGTTTTGTGAAATCAATGTCTAGAGCTGTGAGGTGTGGTGCTAATAGCTGTGGTGAGATTGGTGCAATTGCTTTGGGTGCAATTGTGGTGGATGTGCACGATGGGGAGTGTGAGCCTATCGGAATGTCACCATCCGAACTGTTCAAGTTGTTAGTTCGGAGCCGAGACGAAAAGACTTACAGAGTTGTTGTTGAACAAGGGGTGCTTCGATGGCTCGACAATGCCCCAGCCGCGCCGAAGCCCGGCATGATGGACGAGACGGAAGCGGCTCTTTGGGACGCGCTGGATAAGAGCAGTCTCCAGCAGACTGTCGTAAGCGAGGAATCGTTCCAACGGCTAGGCTGCAAGATCCGTTCATCTCAGGGTAACGTGTACACTCAAGTCAAATGTAAGGTCGTAGACTGCAACCCATTCTATCAACTTTGCTTCCCGGCAAAGCTGGAGGCGTGCCAAAGGGAGGCGGGACGCCTGAGCGAGCGCCTTGGTGCATTCATAACCGCGCTGGATGAGGGACGTTTTGATTTTGACACCTTCGACAGTTGAGGGCTTCGTTGGACGCGCCTTCTTATATTTGTGCTTGGGGGATGACAAACACTCCACGGGTCGGTCGCCCTTTTCCGACCTAGCAAAACCCGGTCGCAGCCCTTTGACCTTGACCACTGAAACAACTGCCTCGAAAGAGTGTCCGGGCCTCTTCGTCACACCCCCGCGCTCTCCCGTCTTCGTCACACCCCCGCGCTCCAAAGTCCAACAACATAGCATCGACGACGACGACGGAGACGACGCAGTGGGCACCCCGACTGCTCAACCTCCCCGCAACCCCGACAAAGGAAGACTTCGTCAAAGCATAGAGGGGAGTGAACCCCAACCTACCAGGTCTCCACTACAACGGCCTGTGAGTGGGACAACAAATGCTCCGAGAGCGAACGGCCGAGTCCCTCCCCAGAAACCGGCCGTTAGAGGAAGACCCACCGACCGACATACAAACAGGAGTTGTCGTCGTGGTGCTCGTCGACCCAAGCTCCGCAGCATCGTCCCTTAACGGATCGGAGACGCCAGGTGGTTCGCGCCCAAATGGTCGCTCCCCATGAAGGTGTTTACTATGAGGGTGTTTACCACCCCGATGCATGTCGGGTGGAGACGACCATCCAGGCCCAACAAAAAGGTCGACGTGTACCAGGTGAGGAGGTTCGGCAGTACCTGGAAAAGGTGAGTAGGTTCGGTAGTACTGGAAAAGGTGAGTAGGTGGTTCACTGAATAGATAGTCTTAGAGAGCTACGTGAGACAACACGCGTGGTGGAGGCGGCCTTGTACCGTAATTAATTGCCCTCTCCAATTGACTCCGGGGATGATCATTGAAGTCGGCTGCAACATTCGAGTGGTCCAAGAGGACCCCAGCAGTAATGAAGTCAATCAAACCATTCGCCAACCAGAAGCGACACTCTTTCTCACAAGCACCCCGCGGCATGGTCGATGACGACTACGAAGCCGGACGGCGATAGGCAGGGGCGATCTTGTTCCAGGCGTTTAGAATCTTCTGCTTGGAGCTCTCACTTAAAAAATAGCAATAGATGCTGTGGTGTTTTACGTCATAGCCTTCTGTACGAACTGCAGCGCTATAGTACGGCGGCAAGTACTTGTCTGTCCAGAACCCAGTGACTCCCCCAAACCGCATGTGCTCGACGTCCTCCGACGGAGTTCGGACCAAACTCTCATAAAGTGTCTCGGCCGATCCATTGCAGCGGTCAAACCAGTCTCCCAACCTGGGCGGGTTTACCTCCTCAAATGGGCTCCCATCATGATGCTTCCAGAAATCCAGGGATAGTTTAACTTCCCGTCCGATTGTATACAGGTCCTGTTCGCTGACACCGTCCAAGTCAACGCCGGGAATCGAACCCGCAATCTCCAGCGCTCGGCGAACAGTCAGTAGTTTGTCGTGCTCGTCTTGGTCGTTGCACCGGTACGAGCACCTATTAGGCTTCACGTGGCGAACGATACCCTCCCACACAGTAGGAAGATCGTATTGCCACGGAGTGCCAAAGTAATGACACCCAAGGTAATCGTCGCCCGTGTTCTGGTCACGCGTGCACACTATCCTGCCGCCATATTCAGCACAGTCGCCCCAGTCCAAATCCAGCCAGATAAATGACTCCCAGCCTCGGCTCGTCGCCGCTACCATATCGCGTGAATCGGTCCATCCCACGTCGATGTGTGTCTGCCTGCACACGTCCATCGGTGTCTTCATCAGAGCCAGCTCCGTCTCAGAAATTTTGCCGATCTCGCTGAGGTCCGTGACAACATCGGGCGACAGGGATGAGCCGTACCAGACGCGACGGTAGGGAGTAGGCTCGACCGTCGTAAAGTCTGACGGAGTAGGCCTGACCGTCGTAAGGTCTGACGGAGTAGGCTTGACCGTCGTAAGGTCTGACAGGGAATAGCTGTGTGTGGCTGGGGTAGAGTGATAGGTGGTGACCTCAGACACAGAGGAGGAGGCCGACACCACATCGTCACTGGGGCGGTCGCCAGCTTGGAGCAATAAGATCAAGTATGTCACGAACGCAGTGCCTGCGGCACCTCCCACGCCC